AGTTTTGTCTAGGCTGTAGATAGCCCATCTCCGGGCAGAGTATCTTTCAGCTTCTCTTGAGAGTGATGAAATGTAAGCTTCTGTGTTAACCACAGCGTTTTTGAACAAGATTCTTACCAGTGATATGGAAAAAAGAGCTTAATGCTCTTTATTGACCCCATGCAGCCAGGCTGTGCAGGCCCTTCCTTTACCGTCTGGATCTGGAGGTCTCAGGGTTTTTCGCTTAGGATTTGCTTTTTCCTTCAATTTATGCAAACATTACTCAGGAGACAGTATTTTATCCTCGTCATGCTGACTTGGATGCAAAGTGACTTCCCACTCGTTGCCCCCCTGCTTCCTGAGCTCTGCGAGGTGCCAGCTGTGACAATGCCAGAGCGGGCACCCCTGCGAGATCAATTTGGCTCACAGCTGTACTTATTGTCAGTAGTAATTATAAGGGTTAATGTGATTAGTTTCACTTGCAGTATTAGTAAGTATCTGTTGTTGTTGCCCTTGGCAATAAATTTCCTTGTATAAGTTCTTTGCTGTGCTGTTTTATGGCCCCAATTGCAGTCACGGTAGGTAAGGGAGCAGCTGCGTGAGGAAAGTTGGAAATAAAGGCAGAGGTGAGCGGGTGGGTAAAAGCTCTTTTATATCAAGTAAAATACATAGTGACTGTTCACACTAAGAGTAAGAAAGAAGCCCCATAGATAAGAGTTTTACCTTTTGATATTTTTTTTTCCAGCTCAAGATTGTGGAAAAAATATGGTTTATTTCACTCAAATTTATTACTGACTAGTGGTACCATCTGGGTAATATCAAAACTCAGATAAGAATATATTTGCTGTTGATACTTTCCATCTCATTCAGGCACTGATAGCAAAAGCACAGTCTTCTGCACAGTAATCCAGAGTGTATTTAAGTCTGCTTCATTTGTCATTTTAAAAGGAATAGGCAAGAGGTGGTAGGTGAAATCTTTTTCCCTCTCGCTTTTATGAACTGAGCAGAAAAGGGAGATGAGTTGAAGTCAAATGTGAGAAGTGTTTTCAACCCTAATTTGCCATTTGAGAATGATAAGATTTGAGTACAACAAATAATGTGCAGGAATATGCGTTGGTGAAGGGGAGAATCGGCAATTTAAATGAGTGTTTTCATACAGGGGAGACACACGAAATGAAAAAGACTCAGTTTGTTCTGCTGTTGTAGCTTAACAGGGATGTGTGGAGTCTCTCAGTTGTCTGTGATTTTAGGGATTAGCATTGCTCCTGGAAAAGGGATTTGTGCCATTGAATGCCACTTGCCGTATTTATGTTTAGCACAAAATATCCCAGAGCTTATTAAATATGATATGGTTTTTATTTTTACCTGAACTCTGTGTGTAGTATGTGCCCATCTGCCTCTTTTCCTTTCTGCTTTTGGTCTCCTTCCTTTTCCTCCCTCTTTTCAAGTTCTTGGCTCCCTCCAGTATGTTTTTTCAGCCTTTTGCCAATGCCCTCATCTTTGCACCGAATATCCACATTTCTCTCAAGCTGCTGAAATTGATTTAAAGCTGAAAAGATAAGAGAAACGGACAAGAAATATTTTCAAATCACAACTAAAGATAAGAAGGGAAACCCCCTTCCTAAGATAATGGGGGTTTTGGAGCACTAACAAAATAGAAATATGTATTTAACTCTTGATATGGGCATTCTGCAGTAAGGGCATGTATGAAAAGTGGATTTTGTTTTTACTGGCACGAAGTCTTTTAACATAAAGATAAGAGGAGTGAAGTCCAGTCTATAAAATTTAGACTTCCATCCATTAGAGTGCATGTGATTTCTATCAAGGTGCCATTTGATCTAGCATGGAAATGAGAAGTGTTAGGCTTACGTACAGATTTTGGATTCAACAGTCGCGAGCACAGAGAGTTGTTTTTAATGCATGTGTCTGCATGCAGAAATTGAAGGTACCCATAGTGTCTTAGGCACTTTTAAATATCCATCCCTGAACAGAGATTTTATTGGAAAGCTTATAAATAGAAACTCTGTGAGAAGAGCAGAGAGAAGGACTTGATGTCCTCTCGTCCTTCTTTCCCAATCTTATTTTTTAAATTTTGTGATTATGTTCTGTTAAGCTGTCACAGAGCAGTGAATTATTACTTGCAATTTAGCATGCTCAAGTTGCCCTCACAGCCATCCTGGTGCATATGAATTGCTATCAATAGCTTCTTTTAATTTTCAAGCTAAGCAAGCAGCAGAGACAAAAGGACCTTGCGTCTGCTTCAACTCAAGTGCCAATAATGGCTCTCTCGGGCAGCGTGGAGCAGAGGTGGGGAAATTGTAAGACTTATGTGCTCATCTCTTGTTTTGGCAGCTGGAGGAGCTGCCATGGCAGGGCTGGCCCCAGCAGGCAGGGACACAATGCTGCAGGTTTCTCTTGGCAGGATGGAATTCATTTATCTTTAAACTTCAGCTCGTCTTTCTGGGAGCTGGCGCACGTCCCCAAGAGTGGGAATGGCAAAACAATGTTTTCAGTCCCAGCTTGACTGTATTTTAATCTTTCAACAAAGCAAGGTTTCCCAAGGCCTCACATCATGTGTCTCCCCTCCACTCCCCTTTTATTTTATTTTCAGGAAAATACCATATCTTTTCAAAAGAATAACCTCCTGCCTGTGTGTCTGCAACCAAAGCATTGTAGTAAAGAGAAATTGTAGCACAGCCAGGAGTGTCATTGGCTCCTAAAAGTGTTTTAGTCATAACCAAATGAAAGAAGAAAATAATATCCTCCCAGGTTTGCTGCACTGCAATGAGAAAAAAGATGGTTTCTGCATTGTATTTGACTGGCTGCACGTCAGTCAAGGCCAGTGGCTTCAGTGTCTTGCTCTGCCAGATACAAACACAGGACATACATATTGCTCCTTTGAAATGTTTGCTAGAAAACTTAGTTAAAACTATATGCTTCATCCTTTTTTCCCCCTTAAGTAAAGGTTATTTCTCAATGCATAGAATTTTTAAAAGTTTCTTTACAATCGAGTACTCAAAGTTATGCTTCTTTTTAGGAGAATGCTGAGTTATGTAGCTTTAAATGAATTTATGCAGAGCTTTCATTTTTGTGTTTTCATTAGGTAACTCTTTTTTCTAAATTTTATTTACTTGGAATTCACCCAACTGTATGCATTCAAATGTAAATTTAAATGTAATTTAATCCTAAAATTGAATTAATTAAATGGAAGTAATTTTTAAAAAATGACAGTTATTTTTTGCTTAAACTAAGTGAACAAAGGAAGTTCACTAAAGCTCTTGAATAAAATGTTTCTTTAAAGCTGTTTTTGCAGGTAATTTCCCACTCAGATTTTGAAATATAATAGAAAGGTGCTTTGACAGATAATTACACATCTAAAATAAAAATAATCTTAAAATTTGACTGAAATTCCAAAGGAAAGATTTTGCAAACAAGAGAAACTAGTTACCACTAGTTGAAAAAAAAAAGAGGTATCTTAACATTTGTTTCATTGTAAAGAATAAAACCAGTGTATACAGGTATTAATATATTATGAAACACTGAAAAGTGTGTAGTGGTTGAGTTGACATAAACCAGATATTTGCCTTGTAGTTTTACTTGTAATCAGAAAGCAGAACCTTTATTTCTTTATAAGTTGTTTCGTTAATTAGTGTTTTAGCCTTGCTTAATACATTTAGGCCTTTCCGTTAACTGCCATAATGTCAAGTTTAATTTTTAGCAACTTTTCTTCTTAAAAAGAGTTTGACTGAAAATATTTGTGCTTTGATTATTTTTTTCATACTTTTGATGAAAACAGAAGGAAGAAGAAATAGAGTCATTGGGTAGCACACAGCTAATTTCAATACTAGGTTACTTTTTAGTTTCTTTACAGAAGTTGGGCTGGTGATCACCAGAAAAATAAAAATAAATTTCCAATGAACTTTATTAAGAAATTCTGTTGGATCAGATAAGAGAGCAAATGTTGAAATGCGGATTAGAACTTGATTGAGATTTAAAATAATAAGATAAAATAAACAGAAATTTCTTCAGCTGTAGATTTGTGCTACTTACATTTGGTAAAGTTGTTTTGCCAAACTGAGCTCATACTGTGCTTTGAGTGTGTTCTGGATAAAGCAGCTCAGTTTTTGAGGTGTTTGGGGTCTTGGTACTGAGGTTCTGTGCTTGATCCTGCCAGTGCACAGGGACATGATCATTTTACATATGTAGAAGTGTTAGTTATAAGTATTTAACTTAGTCATGTTGGAGTCAAGACACTTCCCACCTTTCTCACATGTAGAAAAGGATATGGTGGTCATGCAGAATAATTGTTTAACTCAATGGTGTGAAGCTTTGATAGAGCCCTTGAATGGGATGTGAGCATAAAAAGTTAACAGAGGATATAGCCTATAGGATTATTGGATTTTAGTGAGTTGTTGTGCTCGGGGGACTCATGGCAGAGACACTTTTGCCGTGGTTGCTACAGAACGAGCTCCACAGCCCTCCAAAATGGTAGTAGCTAAATATCAAGAGACATTTCAAGGATGCCTGATGCTATCAATTTGAGCATGAAGTGATTAATGCAGCTTGATGAACTCATTAAACTGAGAGATGCACCAGGCTGAAGTTTACACTATTGATCCAGTTTCAGTCCTGGTAAAGAGATATATGGGGGAAATATAATTGTGTTATTATTGCTCGTCGTAAAGCCATGTGCAAAGTGAACAGAAGATGATCTCTTAAACTTTAGGATTACATAAACTATATAAAGCACTTCAAAGGTAGGTTTACGCTTAAAAGCAGGGCAGATGTTTTATAATGAAAGCAAATTCTACAGCACAAATAATTACATTGTAAGTCACAGTTGGGATTGTTTCCTTTATACCTTGTGTAAACGATTCCACACTTCCAGAGAAGACATAAACAGTAAAAAAGGAACTGTTGTTCTCTTGCAAATTGCAGGTGCAATGAGAGATAATAAAACTCAAAAAGAAGTATTGAATTTAAACCTTTTCCCTTTTCACCTGACCCACAAAGGCCCAGAGCAGCTGGCTGCCACCTGAAGTGACATTTCTTCTCATCGTCTGCCGACGATTGGCCTCACTGTGGAGCAGCACTGGTGACTAGAAAAGGTCAGTCCTTTCCTTTCCCTGAAACAGTGTCATATCTCCCCTGTGCAGTGCCTTGGGAAGCCCAGCTGGGATGTGCACTCCTGGGAGATTTGACTCCCTTCTGTGCAGCCATCATAGAAATAGTCAAACTAATGAAACATGGAGGGATTTCAATATTTCCAGATGGCTGAGTCCTTTGCAGTTTATCCTGTTGTAACTATATGTATTTCAATTATTTCTCAGCCATTTGTATGCAAAGCTTAGCATTTCTGGTTAACATTTGATTTCCAGTGAAGGAATCAAAGGAAGCGCCTGCTACAAGAAAATACTTCCAGTGGGGCCAAAAAATATTGCCATGAAAATTTCCTTGCTCAAAATACAGTATGCTTTTCTGGCACTTTCCAGTGATTATGAAGCTAATGAAAATGGAAGCTGTTGCATCCATCTGTCAAGAATATTACTTGCTTTGGAAGGGGAGTGTTGAGAATTGTGTTTTTCTGTCATAACCTTAGGAGTAATAAAGGGAGCTTGGCAGTGGGAAACTTCAGCTGTGTCAGGGCACGTAGCGTGGAGCAAGAGGTGTTACAGGAAAAAGGTGAAATCTGTTTTCCTCTAGGTTTCATTGTTGCTGCAGTAAGACACAGGAGTAGGTACTGATGTCCTGGTTTACCATATAGATTTAGGCTGTTAACTTCTGTGCTTTCCTAAACGAATGCCACAATTTGCTGACTGCTATCGCTGTTCGCAAGTTGAGACCTGTAAAGTCGGACGTTCGAAGTCATATATTCTGGATATTACTAGTGTCTTAGGCAAGTGTCTTGTTATATTGCTACAATTTGCCTTTTGTTGTAAAACTTCTCCCATACCAGGGGAGAATTTGCTCCCTGTATCCAGTCCCTTCGCGTTTCATGCCTTGACTTTGACTGCTTTGTTGCCACGGCAACTCTGCAGCATCCTTCTGTTGCACTATTGCTATTCCTATAACTAAGAAGTACATCAAATAAATTAAACTTGTCAATCACATCTAAAAAAGGATATTGAAGATGTTTTCTGTCTGTTCCCAGTATCATAGCAGGCACAACCAAAGCACTTGTTCTGGACTGCAATCCCTGCCTTGTTTTCGTGGTCCTCATTACTTACAACAGATGCACTGAACCTGGCGGGAAATCTTTGTTGGCTGGAAATAGTGACTTCCTCTGGATGCTAAAAATGCTGTCACTCTTACACTCTTTACTGGCAAAAATGTCCTTTTTTATTTTTTTAATTTATTCCTAGTAACGGAAGTAAATATATTAACTGGTTTTCAGTCTTCAGTACTTCAACTGTCTTGTAAAAAGGGTTATTTCCTTATGTATCTGGGCCCTAAGTTGACAACCAGGTATAGAACAAGACTTCTCAGTTGCTTGCAAGTTGTACTCTATCTACTTCCTGCAAACATTAATTTTATTTTGTAAGGTGTCTGTCAAAACCTGTAAACACTATTCCAGTCTGGCAGTCCATAGAAAAGAAAAAGAACAATTATCCTTTCAGGCAGCTGTCTGGAAATAGCTGGTCAGTGAATGTGGCTGACATATCATTATCAGGTTAAATATTGAGACATTTTGTATATAGCAGGAAATGGCAAAAAATAGCAAACTTGTTATTTGTCCAAAACACTGTTGCAGATAATTACTTGTCTCCATTTTATAGATACTTAATTTGCTCAGTGAAGCATTTATTTGACTTTTGTAATACTCTATAAAGTAAGGAAAATAAAAAAAAATTGTTTTCCACACACCATTCTTTAGCTAAAAATAACATAGCTTTAGAAAAACTTAATCTACTGTAAATTATATTTACCATTATAAACCTGGTAGCTGGAGGTTTTTGTTGTATTGTTTGTAATTCCCAATCTGAACACGATGTAATTTACTAGAAGTTCATGTAACACACGGAGGGGATACAAGGAATTCCAATATTCCCATCAATGGTAAATTGGTCTGAAACAGTATTATTTGTGTCCATTTTCTTCAGAGGAAGAATAACAACCTTAAACAGATTTTTCCCTCATGAAAGCAAAGTCTGTTGGCTTCCAAAGTTAGATAAATGTGTTTCTGGTATGATTTCAAAAGAAGAAAAAGAAGGGATTTAAAAATTCAATAAAAGTCAAAGGCTATTTTTTTTTCAGAGTAACATTGCCTCTTTTTTTGCAATGGTTATGATGTACTGCTGCTTCCTGTGCATTCATCTGTTTAGGTGAATGTGTTACAAATGTATTGAAAAAAACTTAAGAATTAATTTTTTGACTGTGAGGATTTTGCAAGTGATTATCTTTTTAAATTCAGCCACTGGTCTGAATCATCTCTTGCCTTACAGGTCATAAAACTTTTCCCAGATCTAAAAAGCCTATTAATAAGGAAGAGTGGAGATGCCAGCACTGGTTAATATTCCATTTTCTATTTTGTTAACTATTGCAAGAAACAGGTGGGTGGAATATATTTTCTGGACATTAAAACATAGTGTCTTCTCCACTAGGAACAATTACAACTATCAATATGCATCCTGAGTAATCTGTTTATATAAAGAGAATGACTCTTTAATAGGTAATGAGGATTTTCCTTTTATAGGCTGGGCAGAGCACTGAAGTCAGCTCTGGCAGTTATTAAAGCAGCAGGAGTGCAGCAATCCTCACAGATGTTAAATTTCTCCCCTGCAGAGAACTTTTTCTTCATTTTATCCTTCCACTGGGGTTTGGTTTTGTACGTGGGCTCAGTAAACCTTCCTCTAAGAACAAATCTCCATTAACTGGAAGACACCAACTAGGCTCTTCCATAGTTCAAGATGGATTTGTAAGTGAAGGCAGGGCGAAATCTGAACTAATATTTTGAAGTGTTATGAATCTAATATGGCAGCAAAGTTTGTTCCTCTCACACCACAAAGTACAACTTCAAGCATAGATTTTGATGTGCTTGATTTGATCGCTCCTATTCTGAACAAACCCGGCAGACCTGTGTTAACTATGAAGTGCTAAATGTAGAACAGACACCAGTCTATAACCTTCCCCTCCTCGGGGAATTGAAGAATGTCTTTTGTCTTTTGGGCATTGATATTCTCAAATAAAATGCTGCATTAATATCAGCCTGTGACAATGAAAAATATTCCTGCTGATCTCTAGAGTCTCTGCAAACCCTGGAGCAGGGATTATGCTTTCTATTCAATGCCACTGACAGTTTATTCTAAAATAAGCTATTTTCTTTTATCAAAGGAGGTGATAAGAAATACAATAAGCTGTGATATAGCCACTACCATAATAACGAATCATACTCCTGGAACCTTTCTTTAAACCAAAGTGTTATAAAAATCTTCTTCCCTCTAGACTAAACAAACAATTAACGAATTCTGTGAAATAAGTGACAGCTCTGCAAGCTTTCATGGTTCTCCTGGGAAAAGGAATTCGTGTTATCTGTAGCTCAGAGCACATTTAAAAATAATTCAAGGCAAGGAATGGAAAAGTATGGAAAGAAGTTTCAGGACAAGTTATACCAGAGCACCTCCATTCTCCCCAGTGTAACCAGTATATCAGCAACAGCAAAATGTAGAAGTTTCCCAGTTCAGCATTGCTAGCATGGTTAAATATAGAGGGTATAAAAGAAACATTTTTTTCCTGTTATCTCTCTTGTTTGTTTCTTTTTTATGGGAAAGGAATTGCTTTTGGGGGGGGGGAATTTGGAGAATACTTATGAACCTCAGACTGATTGTGAGATGTTATGGCATAAAGGATGCTGACGATCACAGCAGGGGCTCTTTCACACAGAATCAAACAGCATTTAACTTCCTGAATAGTAAGGAATGTGCTGTAGAAGATATTTGTCCTACCCTAGGAGCTGTTTGAGAAGCTGAGTCAATCTCTGATATAAAAGTAATTTTAATACTGTGTTGGTGTTATTGCAGCTTTGTCCTGTTTTTTGTGAATTCATATTTTTTAGAAAATGCATTATATAACAATAAGGCTGAACCATAGAAATCTATCAAACTGTAAATGCACCACTCCCATATGTGTGTGACCCATTGAACTATGACGCCGTCTCATTCACGTGGCACTTCAAATAATTCACGGATGTGCAAAAGCTGCCTCTATAATATATAACTTAGTAAATTAAATAGCAGAAGGTTGCAGGCACCTGCACAAGGACATAGTTGTTTAAAGGTACTGTTGAATAGTTCTCTTGATCCCTGACATGGCTTCAGCTTCACCTCCCCAGGTAATTCCTGATATTTTGAGAGTTAATGGGAGCATCCCCAATAGGCAGATAGGGCTGGAACAGTGCTGGAAGTTTACTAATTTCTGTGTGGACCATTCCAGAGGATTTAGCTCTCGGTGGTAGAGAACAGCTTAAAGTGTTTTTAATTTGTTGGTACAGGTGTAGCCAAAGAGCAACTGGGACTGCTGTGGGAACCTTACATTGCCAAGTGCTTTTCTGGAAGAAGCATCTTCCTGTGACCAGTGCTAGTCAGGTGAGTCTTCCAAACACAACAAGGTCCCGGAGAAAATATCGGAGTCCAAAAAGCTCTTGAGGGAGCATCGAAAAATGAGATGATGAAAGCTGTGATTTTACAACAAAATTACTTTTACTGATGTTCAATCACGAGTCAGGTTGATGCACTTTTTTTTTTCTTTTTGCATATTCTTAAAAAACATCTTTAGCTACTGTGTGCCTGTAAATACACAACCACTATGGCAGAAGTTCTCTCTGCATCCCCTGTATTTCACAGTCATGGTCCCCGCCCATTGTGAGAAGGAAACCATTTTTCCTGGGAAATTCTGTAATTAAGCTCTCAGTCTGTTCATGCATTTTTTTTTTATATCACGCATTGCTAGAACTGCTCAGGAATTATTATTTTCTATGCAACTTATTTTTTCAAAAATACTTGAATTACTGAAACCAGACCTTTTCTTGGGAAAGTTTCACTTATGACAAGAAAAAAATTATCAAAAAACATACCTCTGGATCAGATTTTGCAGTTAAAAAGAAAACAGGCAGAAGAGAAGAAAAAGACCCCTCCTCAAAGTAACTTGCAATCTGACACCTAAAGCATGTGATGTAGGAAAATGGCATGGTAAGGACATGAACCAGGTCACACACAGTAACATACAAATATCCTTTGGCCTCTAAAGAAATAATATTTTTTTCCCTGTTTGAACTTTGTTTTGTTTTGGGCACTATTTTTTTTTTTGAGCATGAAAATTTTAGGAGGTCTCTGTTTCATCTCAGTGGTGATAGGAAAGTTTCTGAATTTTCAAGAGGTTTCTTGAAATGACAAAGAAGTTTTTCTAATGCTTTAATCATTGCACAAGTCTGTTAAAGGCACTGTAGCTTAACGATCGATCTCTGGAGGAGCTGTAAAGTACTTTTAAAAATCAGATTTAGACTAGAAAATTGTTGCATTGGTGCAAACTCATACTTTTCACAGCCAAGAAAGCAGTCTTGCTATTGAAGTAAAAACTAATAGCCACTTCTGTATTGCCCTGAGGTACTTTTAATGTGCCTGACATCTCTCAGCAGAGGTGAGACTGTGCTCCTTTGTACTTATCCTACCAACATCGTTAGTTCTAATGGGTGCTGTAAAGGTCTTTGTGTTTGATTAAAATAGGTGCAGGTGATAATCAGCTGCAATACCAGAGTGGAATATTTAGGCTAATATGTTTAGCATGCATAGGACTTGTGAGTCTTCCTTGGAATGTCTTCCAAGGTGTGTGTTAACCCAAAATATGGCAATATTATCTGGGGAGATGCTGAAGACACAGGACCCAGTGTAAGTAGGTAATTCTGTGACCTTGGTAGCTTTCAAAGGGGCTGTAACCATCACTAAAATAACTGGCAGAAACTATGAAGCACAAGCAACTGCTGATGCCTTGTAGGTTCACGCCTTGTACTCCAATCTCCCCTTCAGGTAAATCACATTCAATAATAAATACACTGGCTTATATTCTCTGTTTAGGGTGGCATAAGTGACCTGTTGTGAAAATACCGAGAATGGGCTGCATTAGAGGAAAATGGTATAAAGGCAAAATTATTTTGTTTGGCCTATTAGAGGAATTATTTTATGTTTGCTGAAGCTCACTAACTATGCTCTGTGGCAGGTGCTTCGTGTCTGCTACGGTAGGGATTTGCTGTAAGGATTTGGGAGGATGGAGTGAGAAGGAGGAAGAACTGGATGCTCTGGTGCTGCAGAGATTAACTAGGCTGTAATCCAAAACCGACCTGACAACTGCTGTGTCAAAATAAACAGGCTGAAAAAAACATTTGAGGGCTAAAGCATGTGACCTTGTCCTTATCTGTAGCAAAGTAAACTAAGGGAGCAGCTTCTTTTAGCAAGGGATTTAACAAACACTGTTTTGGCAATTTTCTAAAAGCTAGTCTTACCTAGAGGCAAAGAGCACAACTCTGATTAAATCCTGCATTTAGGGGGCTTAACAGTTTTTTAACAGTCTACAAAGTTGTGCCCCTGTAAGTAGTATCTCGTCCATTTGTTCAGTCTTGATCCTGAGAGCACATATTGGAAGTGTAGCTGGGATCTGAGATGAAATTGCCAAAGGTGAAAAGTCACTTAGGAGTCGCCTTCCCTTAGATTTTACTGAGATTTAGGCACCTGGATTATGTCACAGACATTCAGAATAATTCCAGTTTTATGAATAGAAGAATTTTAAATTAGTTTAGTTAAACCAGTAGAAAAAGTTTAATGTAATTTACCCTGAGTTTACTGCGTTCACTAACAATTAAAATCCTTTTTAAGCAAAACTAAAATCAATGTTTCAGAAGCTGATTTACAGCAAAATGTGGCTGTAAACTAGAACTGAAAATTTAGGTATATTTGATGTTTTAAATTTTTTGCTAAAAAGAATGATCAAAATGATGTAATAATGGTAAGGGATTTTAAATCTTAAAAGGGTTAGGAAATTTTTAATGCAGAGCTGTGTTTGAATAACCAGAGCTTTTCTCAGCTCAGAACTTCCTTCTTCTAAAACTCCCATTGCCCATTCAGTCTCTTTTTTTTCCCCCTTTTTTTTTTCTTTCTTTCCTTTATTTTTTTTAAGGGAATAGCAGAAAACTACTTTGTTCCCAGGCAAAGTACATTCCAAAATGTACTGACGGGGTCATTAATGAAGATGTCAAAAAGCATCAGCCCCAGAACTGATCCCATGGAGTATCCCACTAGTGACTGGTGTTCAGCTGGACATTGTGCCCCTGGTCACAACCCTCTGAACCCACAGTCTGGCCAGTTACCAGTCCAGTCCAGTGTCCATTTATCTAGTACATCATCAGTTTGTCAGTGAGGATCCACTGGTCAGCAACACTCACAGCTCTCCTCTCGCCCACCAAGATAAACCCTTTGCTGTGGAAATAAGATCGTGTCACACTCTCACGACCTACTTAGACTTTGGGTGTTTTCAGCCTTGGAGAGTTATGGGAGGATTT